ATAAAGTATGAGCCACTTTGCTATCAGCATCATCTCTGGGGATCTCCTTTAGGGCAGAAGTAGATGAGGGAGAGCACACGTGGCCCTCACTGCTCCCTTTGTAGTCCCCGGCAAAGTGCAGGAGGCTGCAGGCAGGACACAGCTGGAGCAGGACAGCATTCACTGCCCTGCTCTAAGATGCTTCCCATTGGGCTGCTGGCAATCAGAGCAACCACTGACATCATTGTAAATGACGTTTGTGAGCTGCCCAAAATACTGGAATTCCAAGCCAACTCTACCTTCCCTGCAGCACCAAGTGAGGAGGAATCCAGCCAGCATTCAGCTGGTCTGTATGCAAAGCATCCAGCTCTCGTTACAGCGTGAGTCTACAAAAGCAACTTGTTTGGAACATCATTCTAAAGTGTGAACACAGCACGCCCCAGCTGGGCACTGAAATACTAGCAATGAGAATGCAAGACTGGGAATGGGGGAAGTTCTCCTGTCTGAATGAGAATGGTGGGAAAAATAGCTCAAGCTCACACTCCTGATACATTATTTAGAATCTGTTTTTCTTAATATTACCAAAGTGATCAAGATCCTTTTTACAATTGCACCTAATCCTTCCACATATGCATCAGGCACTGTAATCCTTTCCATAGATGGAATCTAATCCTTCCTCAGTAATTCAGGGGTGTGTTTTCTTAATTAAAAAAATGAGGATAAATCTGCCACTCATGTGGAGTTCTTATTGTTTTAAGTAATAATCACTGTGCCTGGATTCCATCACGATATATTTTGCTACTGAGCACACTCTTCCTTCTTTATTGCAAATCCCTTTCCCCTGGTCTCTGTGGAAATGAGCAGCATAATGCCTTTCTAACAATACAGATTTTGCACAGTTTGTTCTGCTCACTCTGCAGCACATGCTACTTACTGCAGTTCAGGCCAAATTCAGGAATCTGTGAGTGCACAAACTCATTGTGCACATGAGAAACATTAGAAAGCAAACCTCTGAATGACTCCACTGAACAGTATAGAAGTCTCTGCTTTGTTCTTTTCTCATCTTACAGCACTGCAGGTAAACAAATGCAGCAAAAGTTGTATTTGCTGGATGCTTCCAGTGAATGCATGTCATGTTCATTTCACTCTGATAAAAGTAGTGTGAAACCTCCTTCCCCCTTAGAAAACTGAGTATCATCAGCCAGGAGAAAAGGCCAGAAACTGTCCACACTACTTCAGCAAAAGCATCTCACTGCAACTAGACCAGTGTGTGTGTTTGCCTTCTAAAGAAGGTTTCATTTTTTCAGTGGTGAAAACATTACTAAAGAGATCCAGCCCTGTCCGGGGTAAAGCAGCAACCCAGCTTTTCATAGAAGATTAACTTGAATAGCTATAGCAGAATTGGTTTAGTGGGCGTGCTGGTGTTGGGTTGGTGGTTGGACTTGATGGTCTTCCTGGTCTTTTCCAACCTTAACAATCTATGATTCTATTCTATGTTTTTGTCTGCATCACTGATATCTTCCTTATTTCTGCATATCTCAGGTGATACACGTACTTGTTTATGAAGTTATACAGAGAGGTATGGAAAGTGCTGGATCATTTCAGTCCTATCAAGGTGCATAATTTGGGCAATGCCATTCTGACTGCATATTGAATATCTCTGCATTACAATTCCTCACTTCTTAATTTAGACATGCTTTAATAATGATATTGCAAAAGTATCAGTGCATGCCTTATGTCTATATATTAATAACTCTGCTCTGTAAACTACCTTGGTGATGCTTGTTTGGTATAGGAGAGTTGTCCTGCAATGCCTTTCTCAACTCTGATATCAGTTATCCATTTTCCCATTATAAATAAAGCTAATTTAAATGAACTAAACAGAACCTGACTGTTTGGTCTTAAGAAACACTGTGACCTTTTGCACTGAGCTGAAGAAAATAATCAACATAGCATGCTGGTTTATGTTCACCAGTCCTCATTTTGACTCTATCAGAGGGGCTCTGTGTTACATGGAGGGCTGCTTGGGGTGCTAGCAGTTTGTTTGCTCCTTTCTCCATAAATCTATCTTCATTCAGTGATTTTGAAGCAGCTCAATTAGCACAATGAGTACAGTTTGGGAAGGAAAGCTGTTCCCGCAGTAAAGATACCAACATGAAATTCAAGAGTTCCAATTTCTAACTCTGCTGCTCACTTTTGGCATAGTTTTGTAAAGTCATTCAAATTATGTTCCTCAGTTCTCTGCCATTAAGATTAGGATTTCATCTTCCCTTCCTCTCTTCCTAGCTGAAGTGTGCTGTCTGGACAAGCCTTAGGACGGCGGAGCCCTTGGGGCCTCAAGAACTACTGCAGCACAAACATTTTGCCTTTGTGTGGTATATTTAGATGACAGATAAAAAGCAGTTGGTGTCTGAGGCAGTTCTGGATGTTATAAAAGCCAAAGCTTTTATCAGCAGCAGGACTCTGTTATTACTCAGTTAGTAGGGAGCAACAAGTTATCATCGTTACTGCTGTGAAAAGTGCTCCCTTTCTCTTTATGCCTCTTTATTTCTTTGTTCCTCAGATCTCTGTTGCTGAGGAAATATTATTCCCCACTCCTACAATAAGTAATTTTTATGGAGCTTTTGCTCAGTTTTCTTTTGTCCAAACAGTTCAAATTCTCTCCTGCTTTCATCCTCCCTCTGCAAAGAGGACTCATGCACAACCCCACCCATAAGGACTCAGGATGAGGAGCAGCAAAGACTCCACCAGCAGAGTAAAGAAAGAAGCAGATGAACCAAAGAGAGCTGGGTATAGAATTACAGAATCATAGAACCATTTGAGGTAGAAGGGATCTTTTGAGGTCTTCTACGCAACTCCCCTGCAATAAACAGGGACATCTACCTGCCTTTTTCTCAGACAATGTATATGCCTTACTCCTTCCTCACCACATCTCTTCTGCTCTTGAGGTCTGAACACTATCTGCAGGACTTATCTGCCTCTCTGTGCACTATAAGATGCCAGCCCTGGCTGGCTTTCGTCACAACCAGACTGCATACATTTGTGACATTAAAAGTGTAGCAAATGAGGATGCAGACGTAGCAGCTGAGTGGGCAGGCTGAGTACAGATGCCTGCATGCAGAACTGTGGCAGTAGGAGCCAGTCAGCCCCAGAACGTGGGAAGGAGAATAATCATGATCCTAGTGAGCTATCTGTCCCACCACAGCATGCTGTTAGAGCACAAGCCAATAGATGATGACAGAACTGATGGTCAGAAAGGGAGGGCCAGTACTTGACCCAGAGGATTCATCTGATATGTCCAAAACCTGGGGGAAAAAAAGTCTATTTTTAAAGAGCATCCTAACAGCAAAAGAGGCAGTGAATGTGTCACCTCTGGAGTTAGTCAGAGCCTCCCCAGCCATCCTACCAGGGCAGAGCCAGGAGGCCACAGTGTACCTGCCCAAAGCCCTGCAGCACACACGCTGACTCAGTGGCACAGCAATTAGCCTGTTATTCCAAGTGCTGAAACAAGTACACACATGCAGTGGTTGTTAAAAGGCTACCCCATCTCTTGAGGGTTCACTAACCAAGTCTGGCTGAGACTACTGAGGAATAGAGAGACTGGTTTTCTTTTCATATACAATGATTTTATACAAGAGCTGTTTTGATATACTTCTGCCGCTCCCAGAATGCACTTGAGCCTCCTTAATCTGAGTATCTGATGGACAGGCCAAGGTGGCAGAAAGCACCACTTCCATACAGTGACAGCACTGGGGTCCATGTTGGTCCTGAAGGAAAAGGGCCTGGCTGTGCTTCAGACCTGTGGAGGCTCAAACTGAAGTGTCTTCCTCTTACTGAGCTGGAGAGAACCCTTAAAGGTCACGTGCTCCAACTCTCCTGCAGTGAGCAGGGACACCTACAGCTACATCACGTTGCTCAGAGCCCCATCCAGCCCGGCCTTGAATGTCTCCAGGGATGATGGGTCATCCACCACATCTCTGGGAAACCTGTTTCAGTGCCTCACTAACCTTAGCATAAAAAATCTTCCTTATATCCAGCCTAAATCTCTCCTATACCCACTCTAAATCTCCCTCTTCCCCTGGGAGAAGGGTACCCTTATGGAATTTCATTCAGCAGACTGTGTAAAGTCCCTTCACTTAGGCCCAGAAATGATGAACTCAAAGGGCAGCAAACGCAGAGAACGTTTTCCACTGTGAGGGTCTACCTCGAGGCAGAGAGCTGCAGAGCAGCACTTGTTTGCTTTGGCAGAAAGAGGGCTGGGAAGGAAAATGGTCACACATAGAAACTCCAGGAGAAAAAAAAAAAAAACTCTTTAAATTGCTCCACAGGGCCACGCTGCCCCTGACTCACGCCGACGCTGCACGCTTCCGCCGGAGCCCCCTGTCCCGACGGCCGGAGCTCTCGCCCACCCCGCCGGAGCCACCCGTAAAGGGGAGCAGCTGTACTGGGGGGGTCGAGGGGGATGTCGTAGGTGCTGCGTCAGCGGGAGCCCGGCGGCGATTGGGGGAGACCGCGCTCTGCCCGCGTTCCCTAATTATAAAGTGCCCGCTCCTCACACATCGCACCCGCTCCGCTCGGCTCGGCGCGGTTCGGTTCGGCCGGTAGAAGCCGCGGGCTGTCCGTCCCTCCCCCCTCTGGAGTTGCTCCGGAGGCGCTGGCCGCTCAGCCCCGCTACAAACACCCGCGGCTCGACGCCGAGGCTCCAGTAGCGAGGCGCTGCCCAGCGACCGCCGCGAGTCCCGAGGGGAGCGCTGTGTGAGTGCCCCGCGCCGTCGGGGCGGCTCTGCCGGGGATGCAGCGCCGGACTCAGGCGGGAGCCGAGGCTCGGGCTTTGAGGGGGGTGCGGTGAGGGGTTTGGGACGAGCGCTTCTTGGACGGCAGCCGTTCTTGCTCTTGCGGGAGTTGCACGAGGAATGCGGTTGAAAAAGCGTCGGCAGAGCTTTTTCCAGCCCCGGGGAGGGGGGGTGGGGGGGGTGTCAGAGTGTCGCGGCCACCGTCTGACCTCTCCTTCTTGCAGCCCCATGGCGTTGCTGCTGCGGCTCGGCTGCTCGCTGCTGGCGCTCAGCACCTGCCTGCTGCCGCGGGCGCGGGCGGACTGCGGGCGGGACTGCGCGGCCTGCGCCTACCGCCTGGGGCCCCGCGCCGACATCCACCCGCTGGTAAGCGGCCGGGCGGGACGGGACGAGGGCAGGGGATGGGGTAGGGAACGGAGCGGGACGGGGCGAGGGGGACAGCGGAGTTGGGTTGGAAGGAAACAGCGCAGGGTCCCCTCGCCGGGCAGCCTCGGGCAGCGGGGGAAGAACCGAGTTGGGGATGAAGGGAACGGGATCTCGCGGCGAACTCCGAGTCCGCCCGGAGCATCGCTGTCTCCTATTGCGCTGGTGATGGAATTAGCAGCGTGCCCGTAATCATCCCTCTGACATTTCAGCTCCTCCCGAGGTAAATCACGTTACAAAGCTCCAGAATCTTTTTATTATTATTATTATTTCATTCTTTCATGACGTTGAAATTATTCGATAATGCAGTCAGAGATACAGCACAACTTGCAATGTAAGCGCAGGCGGACCGGGGTCCGGTGCCGGTGGTACCGCAGCTCCCGGCCGCAGATTGCCGCACTCTCAGCACCTCTCAGCGCTCAGGAAAGTTTTCCTCTTTAAGGTCTCACGGGTTGTTTGGGAGTAAAAAGAAAGGATTGGGGCTGTTCTGTGCAGAGTTTGGAGCACTGAGCGCTTCTGCTTGAAGTGCTTGCTCTGAAGGAAGGACTCGCTGGTAACCACAGTGGGTTTATAGTATTAGGATGGTTCTGAAGAAGTTCTGTTTACATTGTATATATTGCTCTGCATTCAGATGTTCCAGATTTCAATGAAGCTTCGACTTTAATGCTAACCAGAAAGAAGTGGCAGCTTGCCCTTTTGGAAGGAGGGCTGTGTGTTTGTTGTGGGTGTCTATGTAGTGTAGACATTCTCCTTTGCATACTTTCAGCAGTTATTCAAGAATTACATTTCCACCCATTAGCAACACTTATTAGTTTAAATGGGAAAAGAAGCAACGTGCCATAACATGTATTTCTTATCCAGGTACAGTTTCTGGAGGCAAATGTTTCTGGATACTGGTGTCTGGTAACATCAGAACTGATTTTATCATGTTGTTTCTGTAAGATATAACCTGGTCATTCATATACGTTCATTTGGCAATAGGCTGTTTAAACTTATTGAGAAGGGAAGAACAGATTTATTCTTGCTTTGATTTAAATCAATTTCAAAGCCAGGCTGAAGCTGAGATCACATTCGCTTTATTGCACAAGTATAGCATATAGAAATAAGCATGGAGTGTGTGATAAAATAAATCACTGTGATGCAAAGTACAGAAGTCCATTTCATTTTCTTGTAATCATATCAAAAATTGTGTGCCAAGTTCTCAGGATAAAAGCGAGCTCAGTAGACAGGTAAGATCAGAGGTAGTGAGTTGGTCAGAAAGATGTTAAGAGAAAACTGTGCTGATATTTAGTTTCACACTTTTCGAACAGTTTGAGATCCTTAGAGAACATCATCCAGACAAAATAACTGTTTCCAGTACTGAAAAACTTGATGATTTCTTCTTTTTGCAGCTGAAGAGTTTGGTTTCACAAGTAAACTCCCCAACACAACAGAGATGGGAGCTAATATGTATGTTACTATTAACTGGTTACCTGAGATGCGTGCAAGTGCTGAGAACTTCGATAACTCTTGCCCTGAAAAATTTTCCTTACAGTCAAACACAGCTCAGGATGTTTTTCCCCTTTCTGATGATCACTGCCTTCTAAGTCAAGCCAGCAAAACCAGATGTTTGATTCTGCCTAAGAAAGTCTGTAGTTCTTCATTAGAATTGGCACACATATGAAAGATATGCTCCATAAATTAACAAATTGTATTATACAAAAATACAGCCTTTAGAGCCACGCACTGCATTGAAGGTGCAGAACAGTGTGATTCAGCTGGCCTCTTTGCAACAGTGATGCTATTTGACTTATTCCAAGTATCATAGAATCATAAAATGGTTTGGGTTGGAAGGGACCTTTAAAATCATCTCGTTTCAACCCTCTGCTATAGGCAGGGACACCTCCCTCTAGACCAAGTTGCCCAAAGCCCCATCCAGCCTGGCCTTGAGTACTTCCATAACCTCAAATCTTCACAGAATCATTTGAGTGGGAAAAAATCTTTAAAGGTCATCTAGTTCAACTCCCCTGCTTCTTTTGTAACATAACTGAGTGTTACCTTTAATGATGCACATTCATTATGCAGTGAACCACAACCGGTTTATAAATTCCCACTATTAAACATAGTAGCTCATAAAAATTCACCCTGGTAATGGAGAGGCAAGGGCTGTCTTTGAAACAGAATCCTAGAGATGGCCTTGGAATTCAAGAGCAATAACCCAGCTTGTATCCCCTCCCTTAAGTAGGTATTGCCAGTTCCTTCACGAAAGGATATGAAAAACTTCAGGCACAAAGAGTAGTCTTTCCAAGGCACTCAGCTTCTCTTTAGAGAAGCTCCCTTGTGGTCTTTTAAAAAGAAGAGGAGCTAAGACAAGATTTGTTACTATCGAATCACCCTCAATAAACCACATCCGTTTTACAGGCATGTACACTAGAATGTGAAGGAAAGCTGCCTTCTGCCAAGGCCTGGGAAACCTGCAAGGAGCTGCTGCAGCTGACAAAACTGGACCTGTCTGAGGATGGAAACGCTGCTCCAGGAGACAAAAAAGAGCTGGATGAGAACCATCTGCTTGCCAAGAAATATGGGGGCTTCATGAAGAGATACGGGGGTTTCATGAAGAAAATGGATGAGCTCTACCACCCAGAGTCAGAGGATGAAGCTAATGGAGGAGAGATCCTGGCTAAGAGGTACGGAGGGTTCATGAAGAAGGACTCAGATGACGATGCCCTGGCTAATTCCTCTGATCTGCTGAAGGGGCTTTTAGGAGCAGGGGATAACCCTGAAGCGGCGCATTACCGAGGAATAAATGAAAATGATGGAGACGTCAGCAAAAGATACGGCGGTTTCATGAGAAGCATAAAGCGCAGTCCAGAACTGGAAGATGAAGCCAAAGAGCTGCAAAAGAGATACGGTGGTTTCATGAGAAGAGTGGGCAGGCCAGAGTGGTGGCTGGATTACCAGAAACGGTACGGCGGCTTTCTCAAGCGCTTCGCTGATTCCATTCTCCCTTCAGAAGAAGATGGGGAAACTTATTCCAAAGAGGTCCCAGAGATGGAAAAGAGATACGGTGGATTTATGAGATTTTAATACCTTTCCCTTTATCCCTTTTGTCCTAAATGAGAGAGACTGCCTTATTGGTCATAACTTATTGTAATGTGTGCTTGTATTGTACAGTTTTTTTACCGTCCTGGTTAATGATGCAACCTGTGATCTATTGTTCCAGGTCCTGTGTTCTTTCAAGTCAAATAACTAATTCCTGGTTTAGTCAAGTTTCAGTCCGTGCTGTAGTTTCCATGCTAAAATGATTTTGATTACTGTATTCATTTTCTTTAAACAGGAAGTACGTCTACAGTAGAATTGCTTTACCGTATATACAATAAATTCTTCATCCTAATTGCATCAATTCTGAAATGCTTTTTTCTGTTATTTAATCAAACATATCATTTTTTTTCTTAATGGTGAGCGTAGTAACGCCAAACTGTTCTGTAATTACAGAATTTGTACTGCACACACAACACCTGAAATGAATTTTTGTTTTTAGTTTTCTCAACGACTTAGAATACCAGAATAATAAATATATGCTCTAAAGAGGATATTATTGTATTTTCTCTATCTGCTCTCATTCTAACCAATTAGCTGAATTCATTGTCCTTAACCATTTCACGTGAAAACAGTTCATAAACATGTTTTACTTAAAGCTCTAAAAACATTTCTCTATTCACAACACAGTGCCACAATTGTTTAGTGACAGCTGTTGCATTCATCCCATGTAAGACTGTGTGTTTGGCCTGTAAGTTACAGACACTGACTCAATCACCAGTAAGTGAATTGGTGCACAATAAACATGACCAAAAATTTCATTTAAAAAAATCGAAATTCTGAATTTACGGAGCACCTGATAAATGATTTCCTATGGAGCAGCTTTCTGTTTGATTCCTCAGCTGGTATAAAGCACTTTTACATTACTGAAATATAGGAAATTGCTGGTCAGTCTTGTCTATTTCAAGTGAAGGCAGTGTAAGTATGTATGAGAATAAATGGGAAACCCATCACCAGTCTTCCAGCATTTGCAGTGAAGGGCGGCTCCCACCCCCATTTATGCTTCCTTGTATATTTCTGCCTGACTGTTCTCTTAGCTTCCTAGATGAGGTGTCAGCACTTTTCCCCCACCTACGGCTGCTCGTTACCTCCCACACATTAGTATGATAAAAATCTCCTTATCCACTCACACTGACAGTAATTTCAGGCCATACGGTCAAGACATTTAAAACCACAGGTCTTACACTTAACATTTATATAGACAAAATTCTCAAAGCTGTTTAAATATCTGACTACTATTGAAATAGCCTGTGGGAGCTAGATGTCTAAAACCACCCCTGTCTCAGGGCTTGGTATCTGTACCTTAGATTTGCACAGTAATTCCTACTGGCATAGGAAGCAGCTTAAAGGTCTGACTTCAACTTCAAGACAGCACGGTTTTCTAGGTACTCAGTACTTTTGAACATTAGTCTGAGTGAAGTGTCCAAATACACACTTATAAGCCTAATAGTTGTGATAACTTTTGCCTTGGCCTTCAGAGCATTCTCTGAAGCAGCCAAAATCCTGCCCACTCACAGGTGAAGAATGTGGAATGGGCTCCTGGAACACATCGCCTTGTAGGGTTTCGTCCAGAAGGACTTCAGGCTGTGCCACAATGCAAGCCAGGCTGTGGGGGGCATGCAGCAACAGGTGTGCTTGAAAATCACACTCCATAAGGAACTAAAATCACAATGCAGTTTCTGTCTTATATTCCAACATTTATTCACTTCTCCCTAGAGCTCACTCCCAATTTAGTTTAAGAGAGGCTCATGCCAGTCTTGTAATTGAAATGAGCACTGTAATGTAATTGAAACTGTTGCACTGATTTGGCAGTGGCCAAAGGTTTATCAGCTGTTGTCACCCATCCCTCTTAGTTAACAATTTTATGATTTAAGGAGGAATGAAACTCCCAAAATTGAAGTGATCTAGCATGTACCTTGCAGAATGAAGTATTTTGTTTCCTCTTATTTTACATAGTAAGAAAGTACATTAAGTACACCTATCTGGATACAGGTGTGAGAGCATCTCACTCTTGGTCCATGTTCTGTAAGGATCCCATAATTTTCCTCTCATAGAACATCCCTGGGATTGTCAGTTCTCCAAATGATTATTGAAACAGCTGTATAGCTTTACTGAAATGAAAGTAGAAAAGAGGAAAGCCTGGTATCTGGAAAGAACATTAATTACGAGGATATTCTCAAGGAAGAAATGTCACCCTGAGACCAAAAACCAAATTCTACCTTCCCTCTCCCTGGCTTTTATCACTGTTCCCGGCATCTTTACATGGCAGTCAGTATCCAGAGTTAAGCCACATATGATATCACTGGTCTGAATACTAAGTATAACAAAAACTGAATATGAATAACAATGTGTGGAAGGATCCAGTCCTGCCAAAGGGCTTAATGCTTCTGCATTAGGAAGAAATTGAAAGAAAAAGATAGCCTAGTTGAGGTGGAGCAAGGATGAGTTGGGCTTTTTAATAGGTACTAACTAGAGCAAGGATGCAAAAAAGGATTTCCTGAATCAAATGGAATTCACATAGAGGGGTAGATCATGAGTGAGAGAGAAGCTAATGCATAGAATGGTTTCTGACTGCAACACTGCATGCAGCTGGAGCTCTGCCTTAAAGCTTAAGCTGAAATCTTAAGACAATGAGGAAAGGTCACTGTGCTATTCCCACATCTTACTTTGTGCATTCTCAGATGAGCCTGGCAGATTCTATTAGATGAAACATGCAAAGCACAACTTTGAATTTTCTATATATTTACTGTTAAACTATATTTAATATGTAGTACAATATACAGTAAATATAAATAACTATTAAAATGTTATTACAAAAATTACTTTGTAATTATTTGTAGGTATGATTATAATACTTTATAATTGTTTATAAGCATTTCATAAATACAAGAAATTATAACATAAATGTTCACTGTTTCAGATAATGGTTCCCCAGATAGAATAATCGTAAGAACACAAGTATGTTCTAATTTGATATACTAAAATAATTATTATTAAGCTACTAAGTATTATCAAAAAAAGACAGGGATCTCCTAGAAGGAGTCAAGTGGAGGGTCACAAAGATGATAAAAGGCCTGGAGCATCTCCTCTATGAGGAAAGGCTAAGCTGAGGCTGTTCAGCCTGGGGAAGAGAAGATTGTATCACAGATGTATTGCAGTTATAGTCCACTACTCCCCCTGCCTGCTCAGGCTGGGGAGATATCCTGAACCCTGCTGTAAACAACAAACAGCATAGCAAAGCCAGCTGTAAGTCATTAATCCAAGCATTCAATTACTAATCCCATCAGCCTCATTTAAAGCACACTGACAGTTACATATCCAATTAACTGTTGCTATAGAAAACAAAATTGCTTAGAGATATTTGACAGACAAATCTTGAACAGCCCAGCAGGGATACAGAGTGAATTTGTTTAATTAGATCGTGACTTTACCTAAATTGAGCATTTACTGTAAGCCCTGCTGAAAGCACACAATGAAATCTCTCAGAGTTAACAGGTCATCGCAAAAGAACATCACTGTGCTAAATGTTTTGTTAAAAGCACTGCACTGTGCTGCTTCCCCAGGGAGAAGTCTGGCATACCCTTGTATGAAGATTGTCAGTGGTAAACATTCTCATAGATATCAATGTCTTTATGTGTATGAATCATAGAATGGCCTGGGTTGAAAAGGACCACAATGATCATCTAGTTTCAACCCCCTGCTGCGTGCAGGGTTGCCAGCCACCAGACCAGGCTGCCCAGAGCCACATCCAGCCTGGCCTTGAATGCCTCCAGGGATGGGGCATCCACAGCCTCCTTGGGCAACCTGTTCCAGTGCATCACCACCCTCTGTGTGAAAAACTTCCTCCTAATATCTAACCTAAACCTCCCCCATCTCAGTTTAAAACCCTAAATCTGTCCCGTAAATCTCCTGTCTTAATTTAAAACCATTCCCCCTTGTCTTATCACTATACACCCTCGTAAACAGCCGTTCCCCCTCCTGGTTATACGCTCCCTTCAAATATTGGAAGTCCACAATGAGGTCTCCGTGGAGCCTTCTCTTCTCAAAGCTAAACAAGCCCGGTTCCCTCAACCTTTCTTCCTAGGAGAGGCTCCTATATGTGTATGAGCATATGTGATCTTTGCCTCTTGCCTTTCTGCTATTCCTTTTGTCCTTCCACAGTCTCAATGAGTGTTACTAAAAGATTGTGCAACAGTTCGTTTTCTGAGTACATTACAATGTATGCATTGATGTGCACCCAAATTTGCAGTGGGGTCTACATGCAGACCTCTGACCAAAGATCTTTGTGATTGCAATCTCTAATTGCAGCATACTGAATTATGAAAGCTGTTCCTTCACTCCTATGAGGATCTGCATCCTAAATCTTTGATTTAATGTCTCTGCAAACATTCTAAAACAATTATTTGGGTAATGCTTTTTTTTCTCTTTTGTGAGAAGAAGACAATGGCAACAGAAGTCTAAATGACAGGTGAATCTGTCTCATAAAAGCAGTTGAGTCAGATAAGACACATAAGCATTTCTTAAAATATAGACAACAGTATTTTTCTGCCATGATCTGCAGTGTAAGTAGATTTTCCAGTGGGGCTTGCACATTTCTCCAGAATTCCATTTTCATTTCTGCAAATAACTAGCTGAGAAGTGTGTAAAATGGGGCTGAAATTTCTGCTGCACCACATTTCCCCATCTAAAAAACTATTCAGAAGAAGAATGGGGTTGTATTGTACTTCTTGTTAATACAGCGTGCTGTGACAGCTAATGACACAGTTAATGTGACAAACTCATTCTCAGAAAGCAATTAACTCATTCTTTTCCTGTCAGTCAGAAAAAAAAGCTGTCAGCTTCCATTTGAAGAGGAGTAGTAGAAACTAGCCGAAGCACAGAACCTTTATGGGAATCCATGCATACTTAAATTTTGGATCAGAAAGATCCAGAATACAGGAGATGTTTTGCTCATAGATATCTACCATACTGAGTTTTTCCATAGCAGAAGAGAGCAGAATTCCTTGAATGGGGTTCTTGGACTGTATGAGGAATAGTGCCAGTTGCTCCCCCTGAATTACCCAGTAATCTCTTAGACGCAAGGAGTTTCACCAGCACTACATAAAATAAGCCTGCTCACTGCATCATGACCATTCACAGCACATAGATACCGCCAACACCTTTTAAACATAAAGCTACCAGCTTTCGCTGTTCTAGCACAAGCTCTTGTCTGTCCTCAAGAGGTTAAATTCACTGGTGAGGCCTGGCCAAGAGAGACAGGTCA